TGAGTGGCGTTTATCATCTCAGCTGCTCCATCTTAACTTCTGGCTGCTTTTCATCATTACTGGCCGGCATTATTTCTGGAAAGTAGATTGATCTTCTTTTTCCAGCCTCCATGTTGCTGGCCTACTTATCCAAAATACTGCTTTTATATGTGAACATTCATCCTTCCTAATTGGAAGACTATATTAACCTAAGAGTCTCTGTTTTTATTTGCGGTTGATCCCTTCTTTTAGCTACTTTGTTCCATGCATCATGTTATACTTTTTTTAAGATTTTATTTATTTGACAGAGAGAGATCACAAGTCACAAGTAGGCAGAGAGACAGGCAGAGAGAGGGGGAAGCGGGCTCCCCGCTGAGCAGAGAGCCCAATGCGGGGCTCGATCCCAGGACCCTGGGATCATGACCTGGGCTGAAGACAGAGGCTTTAACCCACTGAGCCACCCAGGCACCCCTCATGTTATACTTTTTTTTTCCTCCCCCTCGACGCTTATCTACAAATTAGAATCACCTGAGGAGCTCTTTTTAAAAAAATTCCCAGGTCCCATATCTGGGTAGAGAACTTTGTATATGTAATTAATTGTCTAATGTCTTGTTTTGCTTGTGAGCAAGGTATATGACCCCAGTGCCTAGTATAGTACCTTGAACGTAGTTACTTAATAATTGTTAAATGACTGTTTCCATGTGTGATATATCTTCATTTTATATCAGAAAGAATTGGAACCATTCTTTTACAGAAAAACCAAGGGAGTATTTAATATCTATATTGGAACGACTGAGAATTGCCAAAGTAACAGGCGTGGCTTTTCCTTTCTTTATGGATCACTCTAACATCGTGTCTATGTTTGAGATGATGGACACTTCACATAAAGGCACCATATCATTTGTGCAGTACCGAGAAGGTCAGTATCCCCTACCCACTGAAGTAACAGTTCGTGCTCGTTCTTGAACTTTCCCTAGTAGAAAATAATGCTTGCTTCATGAATTTTCCTTTCTTCTCATTCTGACTTTACAGGCCTGAAAACCCTGGGTCTGTTGGATGAAGATGAAGTTTTACAAGATGATGGACATGTGATAACTTTGGAAAAATTCAGATCTGAAGTGTAAGTTTATTTTGACATGGCTGGTATTTAATGGACATGACTTTGAGGTACAAAGACTATAATTTAAAACAGTAGTATCTTCCTTTTGACAGAAACATTTCATTCCCTTGAAACTTTCAGCTATCTAGAAAGCAAGGAGTGACAGTCAAGTCTGGAATTAGGAAATTCTGGGGCAGACTCATTCTTTTCTCAATGGGAAAGCCCAGCAGTTCTCAAAGAATGAGGGAGAGCAGCCCTAGTCTGCTAGAACTCACAGAAAAGCTTTGAGCCCAATACACCAGTTGGAAAATCTCTCTATAAAATATAGAGCAGTAGAAGTTCTCTCAGAACATTTCCTCAAAGTTATTTATCACCAAGTAAATGTTTATCGATAGTAGAAGTTGTAGGGCCTGACTGGCTCAATCAGTAGAGAATGAGACTCTTGATCTCAGGGTCATGAGTTCAAGCCCCATGTTGGGTGCAGGGCTACTCAAAACAAACAAACAAAAAGAACAAAAAAAATCAGTATAAGTTGCATGCTAGCCCAACAATTTTAGATTTCGGGTATTACACTTGAAAAGTACTAACTAAATGCTAAATCAGGAAAAAAAAATAAAATAAAATTTGATAGCTGTAGAAGGCTTCTGACCAATGTAACTCAATGCCTTTAAATATTTTGTTCTCTGAGGATTTATTAATCAAGAAATCATTATGTAACAAAGTCCAGAGTCAGGGAAAAGTTGGAAGAAAAAAAAAGTTAGAATCCCAGCTCATTGTTACTTACATAAATATTAAACAAAAACTGCTTAGTTCCCATCCCTACCCTTGCGGGGGGAAAGACTGAAACACAGTGCTCTGGCCTGAAATGTTTCATCCAAAAGAAAAGGCTGTCTACTGTCATATGGAATGGAACTAGGAAGGATTTTATTTATTTATTTATTTATTTTTAAAGGTTTATTTATTTATGAGAGAGAGAGTGCGCACAGGGGTGGGGGGCAGAGGGAGGGGGAGAACAAGAATCTGCAGCAGACTCCCCACTGAGCTGGGGGCCCAAAGCATGGGGCTCGATCCCATGACCCTGAGATCATGACCTAAGCCAAAACCGAGAGTCTGATGCTCACCTACTGAGCCACCTAGGCGCCCCTAGGAAGGATTTTAAATGTTAAGGACATTTGTGGAAAATGAGAGCAATTCTGTTTTAGTCACCATCCCACATGTTTTCTTACAGGAAACACAGTGAATTTCCAAACCAAATACAGGAACTTCAATTATAAATATGCATTCTACATTGATTTTTAAAATATTTATTTGCTGTGTTTGATTATCTACAGTAGTCTCCCTTAATTAGCATAGGAAATTGAAAATTCATTGTAATTTATCTCTGCTCTTGTATCTTTTTTTTTTTTAAAGATTTTTTTTTAATTTATTTATTTGACAGATCACAAGTAGACAGAGAGGCAGGCAGAGAGAGAGAGAGGGAAGCAGGCTCCCCGCTGAGCAGAGAGCCCAATGCGGAACTCGATCCCAGGACCCTGAGATCATGACCCGAGCCGAAGGCAGCGGCTTAACCCACTGAGGCACCCAGGCGCCCCACTGCTCTTGTATCTTATTCAACAGACAGACTTAGCATTTATATTTGTAAATGGAATTACTCTGAGTTTTTCTGGCTTCTGAGTTTTCTGTTTTTATTTTCTTAGGAACAAGAGGACTGAGAAAATATGGTCAGCATTTTAATAACACCATAAGTCCAAGATAATAAATGATTCTATAAAGTTTTCAGTTGTCCAGTTTCATTAATTCAGAACATCATATAACTCGAAATCCAACTGGCTTCCTCTTTGTTAAAAAAGAAAAACTCCAAAACAAAAAAGATACATCATTTTCCAGTGTTAGGCCAGTTTGTCCTCAAATTAAGTAGAATCTCAACATCTTGTTGAGCCAGTTTGTAAATTCCAACTTCATTTAAGGCTGCTGTGGCCTGAGGCTGCCCGGAATCGGACTGGAGGACGTCTTTGAGAAGTAGGGCAGAACCGACGTTCAGGTTCAAAACAATACAGGCTTCTTTGACACTGTTAAGAAAAAGAAAAAAAAAGGGCAGGAGGTCCATTATCTGTATCATCCACATTACTCCATAATATATTCATTTTCAGAAACTCAACAACTTCCCTGCACTGCTAGTCCATATGCCTTTTGTAAAAAGTATTGATGGATTTATTTGGCTCTTTTAACACATTAGGACTATGTATAGTGTTTATATTTCATTAGATTACTATAAGAGGACCATTGTTTTCAATATATATCTATTACTTCCCAAGATATAATAATGATACTAACATAATAGCCTATTAAATGTAGCCTAGCGTTTAGCTAGATTAGAATATGGGAAGAGAAAATTTCAGATGACTTACTAAAATGAGCAAAATTAAATCTTTCATTTTATAATAACTTTAAAAGGAATACTTTATAATCTCAAATTCCCCCCAATAATTTAAATTTTACATCAGCAATTTCTAAAAATGTTCTTACATACATTTATAGTTATGCTTAGAATCAAAATTAATACTAAATATTTAAGAAAACAGATTTCCTTCAGGCCTGGCCTACTATTAGGTACTAAGCATAATTTTAATTTCTTCTACTTCTTGAATATGGCAGAATTGCACTTATTTGCATTTTCTCTCTCTAGTAACAGGTAAATAGGAGCATTCAACCAAATGCAAGAAACAAAAGGCCCAACATGTAGTTCAGATCCAGTCCTGATAAATCTGGGGGTGTCATGAATCACATCTTTGATTATCTGGGTACATAGTGGATATTTTAAAATTTCAATTGATGCTTTACTTATCCCACCAAACATCACTGGAACCCTGAGAGTTGTTATTATAAAAAAAAAAAAAAAAAGGAATCAACCTCCTCTCAACACTTGATACATTAGCAGTCACTGTTAAATATCGAGCTTACTGTTTAAAATAATTTTCCGGCCTCTTGCAATAGTGGGAGAACAGGGGGAACAGGTTCCGGGTCATATCAAACTGCAGCTGAGCCGCTCCTCCTTCATTGAAGTGATTAGCCAGAATGATCTGAAACAAAGAGCAGCTCATGTTACGGTCGCCTTGATCCTCGCAGCCCCGACATGCGGTCTGCTCTTACTTACTTCTTGGTAGATGTACACATCCAGCTTCTCCACAAGCATTTGCCAGAAAATTTTAAATAAGGAGAAGCAGAGCTGCTGCTCCAGCTGAAGGGAGCGGTCTCTGAGCGTGAGCAGGAGCGGGCAGGCCGAGCTGGACAGGGACATCACCGCCTGCTCGGCCTGCGACGGCAAGGACAGCCATCTGCAAGACACAAGAGCAGCGCGGCCTGTGGCACTTTAAGTATGACTACAAGATTTTCCAAACGTGGTGTTTTGAAAGATTTAACAGATCCTTTCAAATTCGGGGAAGTGCACGTTGGATAAGAAACTATACACAGCCCAGCATGGAAAGCTCTCTCAGGAAATAAATGTATTTGGGATGCCTGGGTGGCTCAGTCAGTTGAGCGTCATGATCCCAGGGTCCCAGGATCGAGCCCTGCGTTGGACTCCCTGCTCAGCGGGGAGTTAGTCTGCTTCTCCCTCTCCTCCCTGCTCATGCTCTCTCGCTCTCTCTAATAGATAAATAAAATCTTAAATAAATTTATACTTTAGTGCTTTTTTTAAAAGATTTTATTTATTTGACAGAAATCACAAGTAGGCAGAGAGACAGGCAGAGAGAGAGAGAGGGAAGCAGGCTCCCTGCTGAGCAGAGAGCCCAATGTGGGGCTCGATCCCAGGACCCTGAGCTCATGACCTGAGCCGAAGGCAGGGGCTTAACCCACTGAGCCACCCAGGCACCCAATTTATACTTTAGTTCTAAATTAAATACCCCCTATGTAATGAGGATGATAGTTTTTTTTAAATCCCCCAATTTTAATACGACTTACTGAAATATTTATAAAACAGGCAACATGTAACCCGTATTAGCATTTAAGACATCTGCTAACTTCGTGATCTGATTTTCGGCAAGATCACAGGGACTGAAAACACTTCCACACTGATTAGAAATACTCCATGTGACCGGCACTGTTCTCCCAGATGACACCGTGCGGCACACACAGAACCACAGCAGGATCAAGTGTACAGGCAGGCGCGCGAAGGACACCCCTGGACCATGCTTGGTAGAGCGGTGACAGGCCCTTCAGCTCCATATCACACACCAGCTCCCTGTATTTACAGACAGTCCTGGAGCTCAACTATGATCAGTTTATTCTGATTAAGAATGTCTGAATATATTTGAGAAAGATTTCCATCAAAAGGTAAAGTTTGTAGCACAAAGAGCCAAACTCTGCTGTCTAGATGCTTTGGAAATTGACTATATGTATCATCTTTCAATTTGTTTTTAAGGTCTTAAAAATTAATTATTTTAAGATTTCATTTATTTATTTGTCAGAGAGAGAGAGAGAACGTGCATAAGCACGCAGAGTGGCAGGCAGAGGCAGAGAGAGAAGCAGGCTCCCTGCTGAGCAAGGAGCCTGATGTGGGACTCGATCCCCCGCCCCTGGGATCATGACCTGAGCCAAGGCTGCAGCTTAACCCACTGAGGCACCCAGGTGTCCCTTTAAGTTTTTATTTAAATCACCAGTGCTCAACACAAGCTTACTCCCTTAATCCCTGTCACCTATTTCACTCATTCCCCCAGCCACCTCCCCCCTGGTAACCAGCAGTGTGTGCTCCATTGTTAAGAGTCTCTCTTGATTCATCTCTGTTTCCCCCATGCTCATTTGTTTTGCGTCTTAAATTCTACATATGAGTGAAATCTTATGCTATTTATCTTTCTCTGATTTATTTAACTTAGCATAATACTCTCTAGCTCCATTCATGTCTTGCAAATGGCAAGATTTCATTCTTGTTTATGCCTGAATAATATTCCATTATATTACATATACTATGATACGTGCACACGCACACGCACACACGCGCACACACACACACACGTGTGTGTGTGTGTGCGCGTGTGTATCTTTATCCATTCATCAGTTGACGGACACTTGGACTGTTGCCCTAACTTGGCTCTTGTAGATAGTACTGCTATAAACATTGCGGTGCATTCATTCCTTTGAATTAGTGTTTCTGTATTCTTCGGGTAAATACCCAGTACTGGGATTGCTGGATCATAGGGTTACTCTATTTTTAACTTCTTGAGGAACCTCCACAACTGTCTTCCAGAGTGGCTGCACCAGCTTGCATTCCCACCAACAGTGTAGGAGGGTTCCCCTTTCTCTGCATCCTCGCCAATACCTGTTTTTTCTTGTTTTTGATTTTAGCCATTCCAACAGGTGTGAGGCGATATCTCATTGTGGTTTTGATTTGCATTTCCCTGATGGTCAGTGATGATGAGTATCTTTTCATGTGTTTGCTGGCCGTCTGGATGTCTTCTTTGGAAAAAATGTCTGTTCAGGTCCTCTGCCCTGTTTTTTTTTGGTTTTGTTTTAAAGTGAGCTCCATGCCCAGCATGTAGCCTAATGCAGGGCTTAAACTCCGATCCTGAGATCAAGACCTGTGTTGAAATCAAGAGTCCCACACTCAGCTGACTAAGCCACCCAGGTGCTCCTGCCCATTTTTTAATTGGCCTATTTATTTTTTGAATTTTAGAAGTTCTCTATATATTTTGGATATATAACCCTTTATCGGATATGGATTTACAAATATCTTCTCCCATTCTGTAGATTGCCTTTTAGTTATTGACTTTTCTTCCCTGTACTGAAGCTTTTTATTCTGATGTAGTCCCAATAGTTTATTTTTGCTTTTGTTTCCCTTGCCTCAGGGGACCTATCTAGAAGAAAGTTTCTATGGCCGATATCTAAGCTCCGGCTAGTGTTCTCTTCCTGAATTTTTATGGTTCCAGGTCTCACATTTAGGTCTTTAATCCATGTTGAGTTTATTTTTGTATATGGTGTAAGAAAGTGGCCCAGTTTTCATCCTTTTCATGTAGCTGTCCAGTTTTCCCAACACCCTTTGTTTTTTAAGATTTTATTTATTTATTCGACAGACAGAGATCTCAAGTAGGGGGAGAGGTAGGCAAAGAGAGAGAGGAGGAAGCAGGCTCCCTGCTGAGCAGAGAGCCTGATGCGGGGCTCGATTCCAGGACCCTGGGATCATGACCTGAGCCGAAGGCAGAGGCTTTGACACACTGAGCCACCCAGGCGCCCCAACCCAACACCATTTGTTGAGGAGACTTTTTCCCATTTTTCTTTCCTGCTTTGTCGAAGATTAATTGACCATATAATCATGGATTTATTTCTGGGTTTATTTATTATTTCTGGGTTTTCTAGAAATTTCTATTTCTAAATTTTTTTATTTCTGTTCTATGATCTATGTGTCTATTTTTGGGGCCAGTACTCTTCTGATGTCTATAGCTTTGTCATATAACTTGAGGTCTGGAATCCTGCTGCTTCCAGCTATGCTTTTTTTTTTTCCCTCCGAGATTACTTTGGCTACTTGAGGTCTTTTGCGGCTCCATACAAATTTTAGGATTGTTTGTTCTAGCTCTGTGAAAGATGCTGTTGGTATTTTGATAGGGATTGCATTAAATGTGTAGACTGCTTTGGGTAGCATAGACATTTTAACAATGTTTGTTCTTTCAATCCATGAGCACGGAATGTCTTTCCATCTCTTTGTGTCATCTTCAATTTCTTCCACCCGTGCTATAGCTTTCAGAGGACAGGTCTTTCACCTCTTTGGTTGGGTTTATTCCTAGGT